CGCTACTGGGGATCAAACCCACAACCTGGGCATGTGCTCTGAACAGGAATCGAACTCAGGACACTTCAGTCCGCAGGCCAACTCTCTATCCACTGAGCAAAACTGCCTAGGGCAGTGGTTGGCAAACTGGGGCTCGCGAGCCACATGCGGCTCTTTGGCCCCTGGAGTGTGGCTCTTCCCCAAAATACCACATGCGGGCGTGCACGTACAGTGCGATTGAAACTTCGTGGCCCATGCGCAGAAGTTGGTATTTTGTGGAAGAGCCACACTCAAGGGGCCAAAGAGCCGCATGTGGCTCGTGAGCCGCAGTTTGCCGACCACTGGCCTGGGGTATTAAAATTTCAAATGTAATTAAGGTATTACATATTGTAAGTCAAAAATGACTTAAAGTGCTTTCGATATTTCAGAGTTAATTATAGCACAAGTGATTTACTAACTCGAGTCAGAAAGTCCTGACCTAGAAATATATATCACACTGCCATTTCTGCCACTGGAGGTGGTTTATAATCGGGTGAGCTCTGGCGTCATACTATCTAGGTTTGCAGCTTACTTCTGCCTCTCTCTAAGCCTCAGTTTCCCCATCTGTAAAACACAAATGGCAACAATGCCCACCTCCAGAGTGTATTGGGGAGATGAAGGAAGATAAGTCCATGCAAAATACTTAACGTTTTGCTTGATAAATGGTAAGCTCTCAATATATGTTACTAAGATGTAATTCTCTTACAGGCTTTAAAAACAATTCAAGCCTGGCCGGTGTGGCTCAGTGGTTGGGTGTTGACCCATGAACCAAGAGATCACAGGTTCAATTCCCGGTCAGGGCACATGGCTGGGTTGGGGGCTCACTCTCCCCAGTCCGTAGTGAGGGGCATGCAGGAGGCAGCATTCTCTCTCATCAATGTTTCTCTCTATCCCTCTCCCTTCCTCTTTCTCTCTAAAATAAAAATTTAAAAGAACAATTCAGAAAGGATTAGCAATTTCAGAAAGTTAGGACATTGCACATATATGGAAGAAATTTCAGAAGAGGGGATAAATTAAAGCACATTGCTGATAAGGGAGATGAAAAGCTTTAAAAGTGAGAAGAACATTGTTAAAGTCCCAGGGACCTTAAAAAAAATTTTTTTTCTGGGAAGTAGAGACAATTTGTTCAACTGTTTCCTAATAACTATATTTAACATACAGGTCTAGGTAAACACTACAAATACTTCTTAGTCTCCCCATCCCACATATTTCCACGAAAGGGCATTTATAAGTGCTGAAGGAACGAAACTCACGCTGCATGCTGAAGCCTTACCTTGCAGATCTAGACAGAGAAGGGGCATGCACTAGGTCGTCGGGAAAACCGGAAGGCCGCATGCAAACGAGGTGCTACAAGACTACAGAACTAGCATTAGTACATATTCACAGAGTTAGTTTCATGGAGCTCGTCAAAGGAAATGACTCCTATTTAGATCTCTACTTGTTAAAAAGTGAAAATGAGTTAAATGCAGGGTGGCGAAAGAGTAATGGACTAATGCTATGTGTATAAATATTAAAGATAAGAAGATAAAGATACAGGAAGGTGAAAGAATACATTTGAACATCAGAGAAACATTTTCTAGATACTTGATTTTCTTAAGAGGATTATTAAAACAAGGAATTAATTTGTTAGTACATCCCATTCTATGCATAAGATTTATACAGCAAGTTCAAGTTCCATTTTAGAATATACAATGCTTCACGTATGACCCCTACGTTCTTCCCAGGAAACTGGGACTAGGGTTCCCACTTTGTAAATGGTTTAGACCTAAGGATATTGCGAAGTCTATATTCCTATTACCTCAGAGTGGGTCTTCATTTTATTCTAATGACTACTTAATTTTTTTTTCTTCATTATGTAGGTAGTATGTGCCCATTGCAGAGGATTTGGAAGCGGTAGAACCAGAAATACAAATAATTCCCAGTCCCATTGTTAACATTCTTTTTATTTCTTTGTGATTCATATTGTATATGTATAAAATTTTTTCTAATACTATCATAGTATAACATATTCTATAGCTTTATTTTCTACTTTCATATGTAATGAAATCATACACATTTTGGATATATTTTTTTAAGCTTTGAAATGCCATTTTTAAGTAACTGGGCCATATTTTATTTCACTAAACCCTTCCCATTATACGCTTAAGTTGGTTCCAATATTTTTTGCCATTAGAAACAACACAGGAATGGACATCGCTGTTCACAAATCTTTCTTCTGATTCCTGTTTATTCCCTTAGATTAGATTGCAATAAAGGAATTATCGGCTATGTGCACATCCTATGCTTGAAACATCTTCTGGCCTCCTGTAAGCAGCCTTTAGAAAGCCGCACAGGTTCCCACTCAAACTACAGGTGTAGGTGCCTGCCCTGGGCCAGCGAGCACACTTGCTTCTGTTCTACTAAACTCATTTCATGTCACTCCATTAGTTTTCTAAGTCAAATCATTAAAAAATGTATAAGTTTTGTTGTGGGAAACTTCAGTTGAGTATCACATACTGCCCACATCTAGTATTGCATGTAATGCCTTAAAAACCTATCTTTTAAAGGTCCAACTCATCAACCCACGTATGTTGAGTGATCTGTCCTTTTGCATTGTTAAAATAAATTGGCGAGTTTCAGTTGGGGAGGATGAAAAATGTTCTGGAGACGGACAGCGGTGATATTTGCACCACAACGTGAATGTACCTAATGCCACTGAATGGCATTAAAATGGTGAAATGGTAAATATTATGTTATGAATTCTGTACCACATACACATACACAAAAGAAGCCATCAGACTGTGAACAATGTGAATAATGGAGTTGAAGGTTCCAGAACCTTTTTTCATTGTTAGCTCAGTTGACCATTAGATATTATGGCTTTAATTGGCCATTTCAAATAATAATCAAGACATAATTATATTTCCTAAAGAAATACAGATTTTCTGTTTACTGCTAGAGGGGAAAAAAAAACAGTATTTACACTAACTTCTGTCTCCTAATTTAGAAAGAACTCTATGCTATAGAAAAATGTAGAATTGTTATTACCTTTTCCTTCTTTCCCATAGCCCAGGGCAGGAGGAATGACGAGCTTTCTCTTCTCTCCCACACACATTCCCTTCAAGCCCTGGTCCCAACCTTTGAGAGCCTCCAGGATGCCCAGGGTAAACCAAATGGGCTGACCATTGTTATGTTTGTGGCTACAATAGAAAGAAAACCCATTAGAACATTTTAGTAACTTTGTTATTGCTGTAGTACATTTTCCCCACCCATAAGTGATTAAATTTGGAAATTAATGAAAACAGCCACACACACACACACACACACACACACACACACGTCAACTTTATGATATAATTCAATTCACTGCCAAAATTTCTTTTTTTTTTTTTGCCCAAATTTCTTGATGCAAATTTCACACTGTTGACTTTGCTAGAGAAGTACAGATGGCATAATAATAAAAACAATAAACAATTGTTATTTTAAAAATTTTTTACTGTTTTATTTGTTTTGTTTTTGTTCGTTTTTTTGAGAGAGAGAGAAAGAGAGACAGCAAAATTTGTTGTTCCACTTATTTATGAATTCATTGGTTGCTTGTTGTATGTGCCCTGACCGGGGATCTAACCCTCAGCCTCGGTGTATCAGGAAGATGCTCTAACCAACTGAGCTACCTGGCCAGGGCTTAAAAATATCAACAATTATTTTAGCAATTACCATATGCCAGGCATTACCCCAAATACTCTTCTTCTTTTAATTCTAACAATGATCATATGGGGTAAGGACCATTTCCCCCTGTGATACAGATGAGGAAACTGCGGTTAAGAGTGCCAGTATCTGACTTAACTACAAAGTTCAAGGTCTTAACCACAAAGCGATGCTGTCCCAGGTGCAGAAGAGGGAGAACAATAGTTAAAAGTGGGTGGGTTTGGGGAGGAGGAGAAGGGCTAGGGAGAATTTATGGGTCCATACCCACACAGACACTGAAGGTCAGGAGCATAGTATCTTCTCACCTGCCTACAAACTTTCCTTATGTACAGCCTGCTGACGGCCCTGATAGCTGGAAAAGGCTGCTCTTCCACCTCCCCCACCCTTTATCCCGGCTCAGACCCTGGCCCACCTCTCTCCGCAGGGGTCTACTGTGGGGTGTGCAGGAAAGCCTGGAGGAATGGCCCCCCAAGGACGGAGGAAGAAGAGAATGGTCAAGATATCCTGGCTGATGAGCTAAAGGAAGGCCAGCCCAAGAAAACCAAGCTGTGGAGCTACTGGAGGGCTTGAGGGCTGAGTAGTGTCTGAGTCCCTGTTAGCTCCCTTTTGGCACAATAAGGAAAGTGTTCTTCTATGCAAGTGTTTCTTGTAGGTGAGAAGGGAAGTCACCCTACTAGGTTTCAAGGGTACCATGATCATTAAGTCTAGATAAAGGCTATTACTTCCTCTTTTCCTCCATTTCTCCCATGATCAAAGGAACTTTTGTTCCAATTGTAGAAAATCTGGTAAGGGTAGAGAAAAAAAGGAAAAAAGAATCTACCACCCAGCAGACTGCAGTTTAGGCACACTTCTTGTCACGGCAAAGGGATTTCAGCTTCTGTTTATTTACCACATAGGCTATGGTTCTAGAAATGGCAAACATGCCTTATAAATGGGTCCATTTATGGCACTTCATCATTCTCAGGGCAGGCAGTTTCTGGCCATTTACACGGAGGCTGCACGACCACAGGGCCCTCAGCAGTTACCAGACGTTAGTAACAAACCGCTGAAAAGTGGACCATGACCATCACCGTAGTCCACCTAGGTTTTTGGTTCTGAGACATGGAAGACTCTAGGTCCAATTTTTGTAATCATAAAAATTATTTTATAATAATAAGTGGTCCTTCTTTATCTTGACAACATGTTTCCAACAAGACCTGCAAAGATCTCCTTACATAAACACATTTCAGTGTTTTAAAAATATGGTAAAACTTGGTACACGCTAGCTTTCCTGCCCAGGGGCTGGGGTAGGTGGGCGGGTTCTCACTGGCTTTACCTGCGGGGTCGAATGACTTACGTGGAGTGAAATAAAGAGCCATCCTTTTCTAAGTAGCCTTCGTAGTGGACCAACATCAAGTCGCCCCCCTTGGTCTTGCGATGGCAGATGAACGGCTTCTGGAGCACTTCGACCTTCACTTCTGGCTCGGGGATCAGCGCCCCACTCAGGGAAGTGACCAACAGCGCCAGGACCGAGTTCCACAAGAAGAGCCTCATGTCGCTGGAGCAGAAGTTCCTACAAACACAGAGAGAGGACCCCGGACCTCATAGAGTTAAGGATGTAGCTGATGGCTCCAGGGCGACGGCCTCGGGCAAGTTCATGACTCTCCCTTCCCAGCAGACGTGGCACGTCTACTACCCGCAACTTTCCCACGCACTGCGACCTCGCCTCTAAAGGGTTAAACCCAAACCTGGAGCCGGAGTGGCTCTGACTACGTGGTCGTCGGAGAATGACGGCCTCCCATTGGCTGACATTGCTGTCCTTCAGATGCCTCTCAGCCAATGACGTTGCAAGAGGGTAATTTACAGCCCACTGGAGCGGGAGTCGCCCGGCGGCAACCCACCTGGAGTGGTCCTAGAGCCCGGCGGATGGAGGCATTCCCCCACTTGGAATTTCGGAAGAGAGGTGGGGCGCGGAGCTAACCCGGAAACTCCCCGGGCAGATGTGCACGTGTCAAGTACCCCGACTGAGGGAGGTGGGAAGATTCCTGGGGCCTTGTGAAAACTGTACAAGTTTCCGGAAATACTCATTTACTCTCGCTGTAGGTGAGAAGCCCCCACAATTTCACAATCCAAGACTCCCGCTATTGCTTACTATTTACTAGTAACTGACCCAGCGGTTCTCAACCTGTGGGTCGCGACCCCTTTGGTGGTCGAACGACCCTTTCACAGGGGTCGCCTAAGACCATCCTGCATATCAGATATTTACATTACGATTCATAACAGTAGCAACATTACAGTTATGAAGTAGCAACGAAAATAATTTTATGGTTGGGTCACAACCTGAGGAACTGTATTTAAAGGGCCAGAAGGTTGAGAACCAGTGGCAGAAGACTTACACCGCCCTGTAGGGTTCCCATGGGTTACCTTCACTACACTGCCAGTAGGCAGGGTCTTTTATCCCATATAAAACGCGTATAGTTAAGCTAGGAGAGATTACGAGTCCTGTTTAAGGTTATTCAGCCCCAAAGCAGTTGAGCTCCGCCTTCAAACCAGGTCTGATGCATTCTATGCCGAATAGCGTTATGGCTAGTAATAATGTATTACTTAGATGTTCTTACTGCAGAGGATCAGTAACAGCTTCTATTGAGGATAAGCGCGGCACACTCCCGCTTAGAGAAGAAATGGTAATCACGGTTACGAGTTACATAGGTTCATCTCAGTTTAAAATGTTTTAGTTTTACATTTTCCCTCTAATTTCAAAAGCAGTACATGTTCATTATACTCGATTCGGAAGAAACTGTAAAGCACTAAAGTAGGGTTTTCACTTAGAATACAGAAGCTGGATTCCATTTGAATTTCAGATAAAAAACGAATTGTTCTGTATTTTTATTTGCTAAATACGGCAAGTAAACCTTATGCTAAAGAGGGGGAAAAAAGAACCCTGGCTGGTTTGGCTCATTGGATAGAGCATCAGCCTTTGGACTGAAGGGTCCCGGGTTCGATTCCGGTCAAGTGCACATGCCTGAGTTTCGGGCTCGATCCCTGGAGGGGCCATGCCAGGAGGCAGCTGATCGATGACTCTCTCTCATCATTGATGTTTCTGTCTCTCTCTCCCACTCTGAAATCAATAAAAATATATTTTAAAAAAAGAAAAGGGGGAGGGGAGATAGCCTATAATGTCACAAATAACCTTATCATTTTGGTGCATGCTTCTGTGATATGTGCCTAAAATAACTTGGATCCCATTGTACACTTTGTTTAGTAATCTGCTCTTTCCACTCATCTATTGTTAACATTCTCCCTGCTCAGATAACCTTAGCCCGGAACGCTCTCACACTTTCATAGGCCTAGGAACTCCATGCAGATTGCGATTTGGGAGGTCGGGGCTAGAGGCGAGATTCTGCAATTCTGCAATCCCAGGTGGTGCCAGTGCTGTTGCCCACGGGCCACATTTCTGGTGGCGAGGCCTTAGCATTTCGACATTGCGTTCACATTGGCTACGCAGCATTCTGTCGCGAACCTCCCATCATCTCCGTAAGCCCTATTGTTGGGTCCCTCGAGTGTGTAGGACCAATCGACAGCCTTATATCGACAGGGGACCAGAACCCAGGGGCCGCCTCAGGGGCCACGTGAACGCCCAAACATCGCGAGGTCGGACCCGACCTACCCAGGGCACCATTCACAGCGAGCGCGTCGCACACCTGTCCCAGCGGCTTCCCCCCTCCTTTTGCACCCAGCACTTCCTCCCCTGCCCGCCTCCCGGGACTCCATTTCCATTTCCCAGCGGGCCTCACTGGCTCCGGCAGCCCCGCCCCTGTCGTCACCGCCAAAACCCGGAGTAGATTTTCACTCCCTGCGCGCCA